ATAATAACTAATTATTAGTATAATGAAATTAATAAACAATTAATACTATATCCGAAATAATACCGATTTACCGGTTTATTAATTAATTACTATAATCGAATATGTAAGCACTAAAACCTGTGCTCTGATGCATTTCTATTAAAATAATTTTATTTCTGTTTTTGATATAAATTTCACTTGAAATGAGCTAAAAACTTATTTAGATCATTAGCTTAATCTACGAAACCTTTTAGCTTCTAATATTAAATATTAAATTATCGTAATTAAAGCTCTTTAAAAATCTGCACTATAAAAAGATTGATTTATTTCATACATAAAAATTTATATCTGGATACATTACAATATATTACGCATGTATATATTTTTATTATGAATATTGTATGAAAGATGTACGATTTTATTTGTACGCGCGGATAGTAAAGTGAGCGATAATATGCGTGTTTTAACGGAACTGCGAGTGGTTCGCTTTAACCGGGGCACACATTGGCATTCAGAAAAAGTAATATCTCACTAAAGTGGAAGGTCGTAAGGCCAATATCGCAGTATGTCGTGCCGTGCAAGTGTGCGTTTCAAAAGCGGATTAGTTCCGGTATTGTATTTACAGGTGGTCGTGCACAGTCGGGCGGCTTAGTTGCAAAATTGCCCATACATAGCGCGATATATATCTCATGGTTCTCATATTCATCGGGTTCGGCGGCGCTCGAAATCTACAACCCGCACGTTCGCGTGACACGATAGGAATCTACTCTTATTGGGATCCTAATATCGCCGGGATCAACCAGAAATCCGTTAAGGGATTTCGCTAAATTAATCTTGTTTTTCTGAAATTTCTTTGATCCACAATGTCTATCTATTATTAATTCGAGGAGAGATACCTTGTAACTGATGCAAATTGATTGAAATCCTCTCTCTCTCTCTCTCTCTCTCTCTCTCTCTCTCTATCTATCTATCTATCTATCTATCTATCTATCTATCTATCTATCTGTATTTGAGTATAATGTACAAGTAGGGCATAAATGAAAATTTGACGCTTACCAAAAATATCATTCGGATAGATCAGGAGCGCCAATAACATCATTAGAAGTGCCTTTTGCCAATCCACCATTTTGCCACAATCATGGATCCAGCTGGAACATAAAATATTATGTGTAATAGATGTCTTGAAACGAATAACTTTTCAATGTAGTATTTAACTTTATTTTTATGTATTTTAATTGACATATGCCTTTTTTTGAATATAATAATCTTTACAATTATTTTTTAAATTATGTTTTATAGGATTACCAGCTTTGATAAGAGATATCACAGTTTGCTCGCATTATTACATTATTAATTAATAAAATACTGAATACATTGCATAATGCATGGACAAAAATGATATTTAACGAGAATCGCGAGTAATTAAACACGTCATGTCAGTTAATTATATAGATACAATTTACCCCGCGTATCCTTTTGATGGTTTGTGTATAAATTATTGATGAATATTATTAAATGAATCTATCGTATCTTTATATTCAACTGGACTGGAAATCAAACGCACTACAAAGGAAAACGAAAAGTTATAGAATAATAATAAATACAATCACAATTATATTTATACGGAAATACCTGTCGTTTATCATCGATCAATTTTATTCAAATCGTATATATTAAGAATTGCGGATAAAACGATTTGATATGCAAATAATCGACAAATTCTGACAATTAATCCCCTCGAATTATATACCAGAGGTCCCTTACTTTATTGGCTTGGACGCGGGGCTGGGGCAAAAATAAAAATAATAAAGTAGACATGAGGCGTGGGAGAATATATTACTAGCGGGAACATTAAAGTCGTGTCAGCGTCTGTGATGATATTCCACGGGGATATTCCTTATCCTTTCATCTAGACTTTGCGTACAGATCAAAACGCGTACCCGTCGCACCATTCCTCTGGTTATATTGGGGATGATGGTAGCTCGTTTGTTTACGCGATATTACATCAAGGATCAAGAAAGAAATATACAAAATTATTATAAAATAAGAGATCTTCCAGTATACATCGCAACATACACAAAAAAAGAGAGAGAGAGAGAGAGAGAGAGAGAGAGAGAGAGAGAGTTAATCTTTGGTAATAATAAAATCTATTATTTTGTCTTTTAACAGATATGTGATAGAAATTTATTGATGTATAAAAATTCTTTTCCACAGCATACAAAAAAGCCTCTTCTTTTATTAATTTCTATTTACATTAATTTCACTTGATATTATTACAGTAAATAAACGAAATAAAATCTTTATATAATAATTTTGAATAATTTGAGTAGCATGCAATTGCGTGGAATTAGTGGCGAAATTAATTTTGCAGTAAAGCAAAAAGTTAAAAGACTAAAAATTGTATATGTGTTTATAAAAATTTATCATGCAATAACATCGCCTTTGGCGACCTGGTTGGCGCGTTGCAAGCGTTAAACGCCAATCAGGCAAGTTTCCCTTGTGCAGCAGCACACTGATAACTCCATTACGAGGCGCAACGCAGCTACCTGACTTGTTAGACACTTCGAATCATAATATTAAATTGATGTGTCACTCATATCGACCTTTCAGTAGTTACATAATAACGACGATAATGCTCATCCATCTCCTTTCATTTTCAGGTCGAAATGAATAATGCACTGAGCCAATATAAATCAAATATTTCATTTTCTAGAAACGCATATACAGTAAGTGCAAAAAGTATTCGTACAGAGAAAATATTTTTTAAAAAAACTTTATTTTTAACAAGTAAATATTGTCCAGCGAAAAATGAGTCATCGAATTGATGTCGAATCGGTATAAATTCTTTTATTATTTCTTGTTGGATAATTAACAATTTATTTATAAAGAATAAAATAGACTATGTTTCTTAAAATTATATATACCAAAATGATGTGTATTAATTATACAAAATATATCATCCAAAAAATAAGCGAAAATTAAAAATTATATTGTTTGAATGCTCAAAAGTATTCGTACAGACGAGAAATTTAGCTTCTAAAATCAGGAATACATGCGAAGCTCGTTTATTTATATTAGAACAGAATGTATTCATTGTATAAAATTGCTAATTAATGTTTACTTTCTATAAATAAGGCTTTTTTTTATAATAAATTTCCTTGTACGAATACTTTTTGCTCTCACTGTATAAAATAATACGTAGCATTATTTAAATAGTTTTCATATAATTCTCTCTAGAAAATTATGACGGTTTTTTTAATACTTTGACATGTAATATTTATTGTATAAATTCTAAATAAATATATACTTGGTAATTATATATTTAGATTGATTCCGTTCCGTAATTTAAATAATTTGTGCTCTTGACTAATGATGTAAGCAGTACGTTGAAATCCCTGTAATATTTAATACACCCTCTTCTGCTTGCCAATACAAGGCTTAAAGCATATTATACGTAGACGCTTGATTGTCCCTCCGAGAGGCAAAGATCCTAACATGAAGCTGAGTATCCATGCTGTTGCGCTCGAAAGAGGAGTAGTCGCGCGAAAGTTTGCCCATGACAACTTCACGACGGAAAACGGTGGAAGTTAGGTACATTTATCGTTCCCCCCGGTCGGATGCACGCAATACGAGCGAACTGTATCCATCATGTGGGCGCGTGCCCGCGCGACAAGAAGTGGAATCAAGTTCGAGACTCGGCAAGCTTTTCCGCTCGAGTGCAATGAGCAATAGTGGCGCGGCCTTGCCCAACAAGTTTCGAATGTGATGAGCGAAAAGGCGAGACGATAAAACTTGACACCGATGTGATACAAACTTGGTGAAATAGCTGTCTGTCTTTCTTGCTCTTGCTCTCTCTCTCTCTCTCTCTCTCTCTCTCTTTCTCTCTCTCTGTCTCTTTCTCGCTTTGTTTCCTTCTTCTATTTTAATTCTAATTCTAATTCTTAAGATTTCCTTAAAACTATGCCAATTAAGCATCAAATTATTAAATTGCTTGTCAATTTAATTTGTGATATTACTATAATAGTTCAGTTACGTTTCTAAGTCCGAAAAACCAATTCGGTGCGCAATTCAAAGAGACTGCAAATGTGGTATAAATTTACGCGGAATTATTTAAAGCATTAAGATCCAGCTCCGACCATTACAGGCGTTATTTCTTACTTATTGTTTAATTTTTAATCCTATTGTTTTTATACCTGCTCTTATTCATCGCGTTATTCTTCGCTTTCTTTTTGTTGTTACAGTTTATTTTTTGTATTACTATTATTTTTTTATAAATTTTATATATTATTGTATCTTTTTTTCTTTTTTTTGTGTATTTTCTTTATTTCACATTCTTTTCCTTTCGCTTACTTTTTTGTTTTCAGAAGGCTTGCGCTAGAGCTGCAATAAACGCTTTTATTTATTTCTCACTTTCTCTCTATCTCTCTTTCGCGTAAAATTTGCGATTCTCACGAACATGTTATGAATACACGCAAGTGCTCAGTGTTTTCGCGAATAATCGTAATTCCCAGTATGTTTTAATAAAATGTCTTAAGTGTAAAACTAGTATCATGTAAAGCTTTCTCAGAAAAATTGTAATAAACATGTAAGCGTTAAAGTAACTGCATTGAGGATTTTTACAGAATAACAATTTACATTGAAATATAATCGTCGGTGTCATTCTTACGATATGGACGATAGAAACAACCACGAGCCACCCTATTTTCTACCGCACGATTACAGTAAGCTTATTCGTAAAGCAAGAAGCTGCGCACCATGCTCATATACCACGGGCGACGTGACTTTATTCAAAGCGGATTCCGTCGTTTACTCGATACACAGGCCGTAGTAATATCGAGTTTGGATTTCGACTAACAAGAGACCGGCACGAAAAGGCGGCTGGCGAACGACGAGCCCTGCGTAAACAATGCCATCGAGTAATTAGACGTGTACAAGACAATTCTTCTCCGACGAATGGAGAGTCGCGCGTCATGGTAGACGAGCCGTATTGTTTTACACGGGTTTAGAACGACAATTCGAAACCAAGAACGAAGACGCGCTCCCCTTTGTCTTACGTTGCGCCTTTGTGCATTCTGTGCAAATTTTCAGTTGAAACTCTTTTGTCAGTTCTGTACTCGCCCATTTTCGTTCAGCTCCGTTGGTTTCACGGTAGTAAAATACTTGTATTATTATTTAAAGTCTAAACGTGAGAAACGACCCGAATAAAAGTTGTGTATTGTCAGAAACGATATTTTTATCTTCGAACGCTTCTTACACATCGCTTTTATAAATCCCTTAAATCAAATTCATGATGTCAATTTAATGAGAGAGAAAAGTAGAGACAAAAAAAGTAGAGGTAATTGATAAAACTATAAACTGTCTGTTTCAGTGTGTAAAGTTATATGTTCTTGTTAAAATATAAAATTAAGAAATTTATTTAAAAATAGAAACGTTAAGCTTTTAAGAGGATTGTTAAACGTACAATAATAAATAACGAGAATTTCACGAATGCGATTGTGAATAACATTCGTCGCGTAACGAACGGCGACGATACATTCGACCTATCGCAAATTATTGGGGATCTCTGAAGTATTAGAGTAACCTCGCAGTGGTTACAGTCCGTGATTAGTCAGACGCGCGGAGCTAAGCCCAAGTCGTGTACACCTGAGTTCGGTAATTTATAGCCAAGCCATTGTAACATTTCAGTACGTGATACTTTTAAGCTACGCGATTATTACCACATTCGTAATTGAATTTCGCGGTTGAAAAAAGAGATTAACGCCGCACAATTTAAAAAATTATTACGTATTCTAATCATACATCGCATACGTTCGTTCGTTAGCGCGTAGAGGGGATTTAAAGCAACGTTTTAACGTCATAGCAATTAGAATATTCCTAATAATTTTGTATATTCGTATTTATATCCTTATACGTCAAATACTTATTTAAATTATGTTCGCGACTAATTTTAGAAACAAATGGAAGCCACAGGAAATTGCATAAGATTATTATATACTATGAATATTTTATGATATAACTACTTTAAATTTAATCTAAAATTCTCCGGTTTCCACAAAGTTTCCTTTCTAATGAGTTCATTTAAACGCATAAAATTCAAATCTTCCTAATGGCAAAACTTTTAGATGC